TTAATATATTTTTTGCAAGAAATAAAAAATTAATTACAATGTTAATATGAATTGTATAAAAAAATTAATTTTCTTATACTTTCCACTACTTTTAAGCTAAACAAATTCATAGAAGTTAAAAAAAAATTTCTCTTTGTTTCACTCTATTTATTTCATCCTAAACAAACTAAAACTTCATTTGTCATTGGTTACGATAGCCAACTTTTTTGTATTGAGACTTTTTTAGCCTCGTTTGATTTTTATTTTTGGATTTTTTTAACTTTTATGAAAGAAAAAATATAATGATTATGGTTTAATGTGATATTTTGTCTTATTCACTTATATAGCCTTTTTATTTATTTATTTTATACTTTTTTTTTCAAAATAAAAACCAAACGACGACTGAGTCTAATGAGTTAGGGCCCCATTTGTTTGGGGTTATAGGGACGGGATTGGGTTTGATAATGAGGTGGGACTACTATATGGGGTGTTTGTTTTGAGAGAAGAGAGGATTCCTAATCCCTTGGTATTAGTAAAGGCCTTGGAAGGGGGATTGTGAAGAAGAAGGTAGAGATGGTATTAGAAAAATAGTGAGGGAATTAGAAATTTTTTTATTTTTTATATATTGAAATTTTTTTTAAAATATTAATGTTTAATTTTTTATATTTTTTTATTTGTTTTATTATTTTATATAAAAATAATTTAACAATTCATACGCTAACAACTATCATCAAAAGCAAATACAATTTTACTTAATTCTTTCACTATGAATTCCCTCCATTCTACCTCTGAAAACAAACGGGTCTGGAGGAGAAACCACTAGAATTCTTTTCAAAATTTTAGCCTGTCCTTTTTTGGCAACACAGAAAAACAGATGTGATAAACAACTATCACTAGAACCCATATCCACTTAATTTGTTCATGGATGAGTAAGAAAAAAAAATATAGAACCAATCAAAACACCATTAGCAAGCCGTTCAATAAATTATATAAAAAAATTCTTAATAAATCAGTAAACATATGTTGTGTGAGAAAGAAAAAAATTAGAATGTAATGGATGAGAAGACTAGTATTACAAAATGTTACAAGCATATTGTACAATCTTAATTGCATCAAGAACTAGTTTCTAATGCATCTTGATTTGTATACAGAGAGAGAGAGAGAGAGAGTCCAATGTTCAGCAACAAATAGAAGAGAATTTTTTGCTTCTCATGCTTCATAATGTGTTAGAATCAGCCAGTGATGGCAATCTTTCAGTGATGATGGGTGGAAAACAAGAGTCTTGGGGGAACCCATTGCTCCATCTAGACTCACCAGAAACAGATACAGAAGCCCAATCACTGAGATTGCAAAAGATAGATACAACTCTGCAGAGAAACTAGGAACCACCACCATTCTTTCAGCTTCAGATAGTGAGATAGAGAGAATGAGAAAGAGGAGATGGGCTTTGAGGAACAAATAACATTGGGGCTTATAAGAGGAGAGAAGGGACAGTAAGTTCAATGAACCTGAGAAGAAGTCTCAAAGGGGTGATGATTTTGAGTTGAGATCCTCTCTTGGCTCTTTCTTTGCCTCCTTGGAGATACGCTTTTAGTTAATGTAACGGTTTAGATTTGGAAGGAAAAAATAAATTTGAATTTATTTTATTATTTTATTATTTTTAAATAATCAAATTTGAACCGTTGGATCAATTCAAAGTGTATTTTCACCGTTGCAAATAGAGAGACAAGGAAAGAGGCTTCAAAAAGGATCTCAACTCGATAATTTTGTGAGTAATTGTAAGGCTATGTTTGAGATGTTTGTTTGAGGCTATTTTAGTCACAAAAAGATAAAATAGGTTAAAAAGTTAATAAGATAAAATGTCATATCTAAACTATAATCATTTTATTTTCTCTTACAAAAGTCAAAAAAATCAAAAAATCTATTCCAAACGAGGTTTTTTAGGCTCAGACTAACATAGCTAAAAAATCAAAAAGTTAAAAAGTCAACCCACGTAAGTGTCAGAGATGAGAGCACAAGGCAGTAGGGCACATCTGATCATGGAGAAGTAATTGGTTGGGCTTGGGTACTACGGGCACCATCACATGTGCCTCAATAATATTGTAATTGGTAAAGCAGATGAGATTTATAAATTTGTGTTGATACTTAGAAAATTACGAGTGGTGTAAGATATCATCATGTAACGCCCCAAGAGCAATCAATAATTTTTCCTGATTCTGACTAGGGGTTCTGAGGAATGTGAGCCACCTTTTCTCAAAAACACAATACAATGAACCTCTCCTCAACTTGCTCATGCGGGTGCTTACTTCTTTTCACTTAAATAATGATATGGAAGAAGTCAATCCATACAAACAAAAGAATATGGAGAATATATTTTGATTTAAAAAAAAATTAATAATACATTTTAATTATTAAAATATAATTTATATATATATATATAATTATTTTTTTAAAAATACAACTGATTTATAATTTTTTCAAAGAATATTATAAGAATCAATGATGTAATAATCTTCAGTGTGTTTAGTTTCAGCTTTTTGAAAATTGAGTTTTTTATTTATCGTATTTTTTTTTTATTTTTAGTGAATGTTTTTACAATTTTAAGTAATTTTTTTACTTTTTTACATGCACCTTATTTAAATGTATCTAAATAGTAAAATATTAGTGAAAAATATTTTTAAAAATTAATAAATACAAAAAAATATGAAAAATGTACTGAATTTTTATTTATTTATTTATTTGTATTTTTTGGTATTTAGTGAATTTTTTAAAGATTTTTTTCACAAATATTATACTTTTTAAGTGTATTTATGTAAGGTGTGTCTAAAAATTAAAAAAAATTCAAAATATTAAAAAAAATTCATTGAAAACATTAAAATACGAAAAATTAAAAATTAAAAATTTTCTGAAAACTGTTTTCCAAAAACCAAAACCAAACAAGCAAATTATTGTTATAAATAAAAATTATCTTTATTATTGTTTTGTTTTAGGATAAATTATACTTTTTTACTCTTATAATTCGATTCAAATTTTTTTTAGTACTATTATTTTAGTTTGACTGATAATAATCCAAGATTCTAAATTTAGTTTCAATTTATCTTTTCACTTCAATTTATCCAAGATTCTAAATGACCACATCGCATGTGTTTTGTCTTTTGAGGTTGAGTAAAAAGAAAAAAGGCACTTTACTCTTATCTCATGTGGTTTGGCCTATGTATAGTTTACCCTCTCAATTTTCAAAAATGACCGCATAACATTTGTGATTTGTGAATTGAAGTGCACTATTAGGCCCGTTAATGATTTAATGAAGAAGATTAAAATACTATTGTATTTTCGTTATTTGTTTAGAAGACAAAATGTACTTTAATCTTTTGTACTTTATTCCATGTGAGATTTACCTTATTGAAGTTTGAAAATGGGTATATAACCTCTTTATATTTGTCACGTGTTTCACACTTACTGTTAAATTGAAAGAAATGTTAATGGTGCACTTTAATTCACAAATCATGTGGAAGTTATGTGGCACAGTCATAACAAATTATCAATTTTGCCCAAAATATAGGAAAACATGGGACAAACTAACTCTATACATTTGGAAGGGCACACCATATTGTACCAGACCTACTAAATAATTTCTGCACGCTCAAACCTGTTAAATTTAATAGGTCCTACATAAATGTTATTAATAGTCAACTAGTGTGAGTGGGTGATAAACAAAACATGCTAATATTATTGATAATTCAGACACAATCTAAAACATATAGCATAAGCTTCTTTGTTCTTAAATGTTTTACATTAGTATTTTCTTATTATCTAAACTGTTTTATAATATTTCGTGATTTGCATAGCTTGAAGAAACTGTATAATTCAATAATTAAAAATGCATACAGAAAAATATAGGTACAAAAGACTTGGCCAAAACAGAGATGAGGACAAGAAGAAGATGGAGAAGGAAACTAAAGAAACTGAAGGACAGTACTTATGAGAAAGAATGGCAGGATTGAGGAGGAGAAATGCATGATATAACGCACACAATTACTGGCACTGCTAATATATATCTAGTTTTATTAGGTTATTTTTATTGCTTTTTGTTTTCTGTGTTTTTACAATTTGGACATGAAGCTGGTTTGGTTTGATTTGATATGATATTGTTATAGGAAAGTAGTTTTGATGTTCGGAAAACATGGAGAATATATATTTGTTCCACCTTTACCTATGAAAATTTTTATGCCTATACTTGGATTTGGTACCATTTCTTCATTTTATTTATTTATTTATTGCACTTGAATGTTGGCAATAGTGAATTTGGAGTAGTTAATGTTCACTAATTTCAATTTATGTAAAGAGATACTTCTTTGATTGGAGTAATTTTTGGGTTTCTTGTAAAATATGGTTGACCTCCATTCCTTTCTATTTCCCCAAAACCTATGTATTTAGGTGTTTTTTTTGGTATCATTTCCCTAATTTTGTTTTTGAAATTTCAGTTATTTCATAAATTAGGATGGGAATTGAGATGAGAAATTTCTCATTTACAATCATAAGTCTGATCTCTTAGGACCCATATCATTTTTTTTTTCTCCTAATAATTTTGGTGCTTTGAATTTTAAGTGGTAGTAAGATATTTACTTGTTTGAATTTTTCAACTTTGTATTTGTATAAATATTTTATAATAGGAAAATGTTACACATAAATGAATTTTTTAATTGATTTTCTTACAAAGTAGTCTAGGAATATAAAAATCGATTACAGAATCAGATACAATTCTCTCACATAAGGTGGGTCTGATTAGAAGAACTGTTTTCTCACTACTTAACACAAAAACAGTGAATTCTACATGTATTTATCAATATAGATCTCACTATCTTTAGGTGTACTAATAAGAAAATTTGATAAATTGAAGCTTCTAGTTGACCTAGTCATTCTCTTCATACTTTTCTTGTTAACTTGGTTCAATGGTTGATAGCCATGACACACTTGGTTTAAATATGTTGATGTTACATTCCTTAGCACCATTGACTTGGCATTCCAATTCATCGTAACGGTTACTCTATTCTATGTTTAAACTATTCAACATAGTTGCTTTAGTTTGAAATCTTCAATCTCCTAAATTCTTTTTCATTATCCTAACATAAGATCAAATCATATGTTTTATTCAGTTACTAATCACAGTTTTTTTTTAATGAGCCCTTCTTTGTCACTTCATTTGTTTATTTCTATTCTTTCATATTTTGTCTCTAAGAACACAGAAACCAAATACAGAATATGACACAGAAATCAAATGAACAAATGGGATTCTGTATTTGATTTATGAGTTTCTAGCATCATTTTGTCATTTTGCTTTAATTCTACTATTAAATTTGTGTCTTTTAGCTTTCTATGTTCTCTTTCTGCTTTTCTTGCTGCAAGTATTTAAATTAACTAATCCAATGTAACAGTTATGAGGAGTGAAAGTCCCACCACCATGGGACTCACTTGTAGAGATTGCTCTTCCAATTCTGTAATTTTGAGATCTTCTTCATCCACCAAGAACAACAAAAAGAGTAGTTCTAATCAAAGAGAAGACAGGCTTTGTGCTCGAAATCCATCCATTAGATTACAAATCCACGAGTTGAATCCTTTATGTAAATCGAGAAAGAAGGCTGAAGAAGACGATGAAGATGGTGATTTTGATAAGCGGTTTGGAGAGGAAGGATCATTCGATGATGATAAGTACATGTGGTTATCTTCAGGTACTATGTCTCCATCTTGTTTTGATGATCAAAGGTTTTCTGTTTTGTTGGACCTTTCACTTGATGATCAATGGCTGGTAGTGCCACTGCCAAATTCTAGTCCTTTTTTGGGTAAAAATATCATTTTGTTTGATGGGTCTAAGGTAAATCCTATAGAGGAAGCATCTTTGGTTCTTGAAAGAACATCATTAGATGCAGAAAAAATATTTCAAGAAGATTTAAAAGAAGATGAAGAAGAAGAGATAGTTAGTTGGCTATCGAGCTCAATTTCAAATGATCCAACAGATTGGGAGAGAAATGGATTTTGGGTATCTTATTATGCAAAGTGGATTTCAGATGCAGAGTCGGAGTTTGATTATTTGGGTTCTGAAGTTTTATCATCAAATTCTAGTGGTGTTTCTTCGTTCCCCGAAATACTAATACAAGAAAAATCACAATCCTTTCCTTTTGACTATGTTTCAGAAGATGTTGATTTGGCCACTGGAGCTGCTGATGAACCACTTTTTTGGCCATCTGATAGGAAATTTGATTGGGGTTCGGAGCTAAAATGGGATTTCTTTATCATGTCACCGCGTAAACACAAACATAAAGACAAAACTCTCGAGGGAAAATTAACTTTTGTTAGGAGGATGCAAACACAGCCTTCAAGGATGGGTGAATCGCGCAATTTTTTTGCAAAAATAGTACCTCTTGATGTGGTAGAACCAACCAGTGATGATGTTCTTAATGAGAAATCAAATCTTGTCGACGAAGATTTTGAATCAAATGAAGAAGTTGCAATAGAGACATTGTTGGGGCTTGATGAATTTGATGGGCATGAGGGGACTGAGTCAGAATTCAACAAAGATGATTTCTGTTTGGATGAGTCTGTATGAGAGAGCATATTAGTGTTCAATTTTGATAGAGATGTTTTGTAAGGACATAACTGTATTTTTTTTTGTACTTGTAAATTTTATTGGTGGATAGAGTTGAAGTTGAAGACTTGTTTTTTGGCAATGGAGTTGTATTTTTGTGTTTCCAATGTCCCATATACGGTTGAATACTTCGATATGCATACACACAATACTATGTATAATTACAGCATTGGTTATTGGGGTCCGTTTGGCAAGATGATTTGTGACTAAAATAGTCACAAAAGATAAAATAGGTTATTTTAGCCACAACAAACAAAACATCACATCTAACCTATAATCATTACACTCTTCTTTCATAAAAAAAGTCAAAAAAACCGAAAAGCCGACCAGTCAAAAAGCCCTTCCCAATTTCCCAAATCAAACTTTTTAGTCCAAGTTAAAATAGTTAAAAAAACTAAAAAGTCAACCCACTTCCCAAACCAACCCTGAATATTGGGTAGAAATTTTGCCCTAAATATAGAGCATTTACTTCTAGCCAGCGACATTTTGATATTTACAATTTACTTTTAGTTTTTAAAACTTTTCTCTGAAGTGTGTGAGGTTTGAAATGCAGTGTAAAAATCATCGTTCCTTATTTGTTTATTAAGGATGGCAATGGGATTAATAGGGTAGATATTAATTCTTCATCCTCATTTTTTTATAATTATTTTTCTCCATTTCCCATGGAGACTACCCTTCCCATCTTCTAATGGGTTTGAATTTTTCCCAACCCAACTTGATCTCCTTTTTTTTTTCTTTTTCTTTTTTCACAACCAAAACTAAGGGGGTGCTTGGGAACTTAGATTTTAGGTTTTTTTTTTTTTTCACTACAAGACAAATGTTTTACAAAATAAAAAATAAATAAATCCAAACAAAATATCACATCAAGCCCCATAATCATTTCATTTTTTCTCTCACAAACATCACATCCAATCACAAAAAAACTCACTATCTTCCCAAACACAAAAATTTTTTTGTCTAATAATATCTTACAACTAAAAAAACTTACAAAAAAACTAATTTCCCAAACACCCACTAAATATACATTCAATCTTATTTTATTTTATTTGGTTCAACAACAAAATCAAATACACATTAATTAACATTGTCACATTATTCTTGTCAAATTTTATGTATATTTAGTGTGTGAGTGATTTTCCGATCACACTGCCCAACTCAATACTCAGCTGGAGAACAATAGCAGAATAGATGACACCTGGCTAACCTGTAACAAAAAGAGAAGATTCCGGCGGTGGTTCGTCCACGAGGGGGCACTCCGACGATCAAGTCATTATATCTCTCAAAGATAATCAATAATGCTAAACTCAATGCTCAAAGCATAAAATTGCGTACCTTAGACCCATGGGGGTGCCTTTCTTTTATAGTTACCTCAATCCTAATCCCAATAGAAGCCTGACTTCTATGGATTCCTGTTCAGTACTTACTTTAGACTCCTCAAGAGATAAAGATAAACTCTCTAAGAGTTTTATCCTTATCTTGGCTAAGTCTCTTCTTTATTCTAGGACTCTTGTCCCTTATTCGCTTATCTCGAATTCCGATATCTTTGGAGATAACCTCGGCATAACGACCAGAGCACGTGGCACCTCGACTGACACGTCGGCGTCACCTTGCCACGTGTTGGTACTCATAAATATATCCCTACATTTAGATTATCTTTTTTTTTTTTAATTTTGTTTAATTTTATGTATCTCCTTCTCCTCTCTATTAATTGATCTTCGATAATCTGAAGGTGAGTTGTTACTCTCGTTTCCATCTTCTTCTTCTTCTTTTTTTCTTTTTTTTTCTTTAATTTTTATTTGAATTTATAGAATGAATTTTTTTGTTTCAATATCTTTTGCAATTGTTTTATTGGATTTCTCTCTAATTTGATGGTAACCTTATATTGAATTTTTCAATTTTCATCTTAACTTGTGATCACCTTAATTGAAATTTTGTCATTTTTGTCTTCAATTTTCATGTTTTGGTTATGATTAATTGTGTGTTTTTGATCGATAATCACAATCTTGTCGCCGCTAGATTGTCGCCATCGCAAATTGTTGTTGCTGTAGTGAGAGGATGAAAGAGAGTGATAATTAGAACTCTAATTGTAAACAGAGTAATAAAAACTAGGGATAACAATGGATAACCTATCCTGTGGTTATCTATGGAGACCCAACCCAAATACATGGGTTTTTTCTTCTTCTTTTTTTGTCCAGCGAGTAGGGCAAGCGATATTCTTTAAATCTCTACCGGGGATGGGTACCCACTAACTTTCTCATATTTCTTTTTCTTTTTTTAGGTACATCGAAAAATAATTTCTCCATATGTTTTCACTACTCTATTTACAATTAGAGTTCTAATTCTCACTCTCTCTCATCCTCTCACTACAGCAATGCCGATTTGCGATGGCGACAATCTAGCGGTGACAAGATTGTGACTAATGATAAAAAACGCGCAATTAATCATAACCAAAACATGGAAATTGAAGACAAAAATGTACAAAATTTCAATTAAGGTGATCACTAGTTAAGATGAAAATTAAGAAATTCAATCTAAGGTTACCATCAAATCAGAGAGAAATCCAATAAAACAATTGCAAGAGATATTGAAATAAGAAAATTCATTCTAATAATGCAAATAATTTTTTAAAAAAAGAAGATGAAAATAAGAGCAACAACTCATTTTCGGATTATCGAAGATCAATTAATAGAGAGGAGAATGAGATACATAAAATTTTAAAAAATTTAAAAAGAAGATGGAGTTTTTTTGTAGGAATAGAATTTTTCTAAATAAATTTAAAAATTTCTAAATATACATAAAATTTGACAAGAATAATGTGACAATGTTAATTAATGTGTATTTGATTTTGTTATTAAGCCAAATAAAATAAAATAAGATTGAATGTATATTTAGTTTTGGTTGTGAATCTTTATAAAAAAAAAAAAAAAAAAAAAAAAAAAAAAAAAAAAAAAAGTCAAGTTAGATTGGGGAAAATCCAAATCCATTAGGAGATGGAGAGGATAGTACCTATGGGGAATGAGAAAAAATAATTATAAGGGAATGGGGACGGGGACGGGAATTAAAATACACCCCCATTAATCCCCATTGCCATCCCTAGTGAAAGCATATGAAGAAATTATTTTTCGATGTACCTAAAAAAAAAACATATGAAAAAATTAGTGGGTACCCATGCCCGCCCCATCCCCAATAGAGATTTAAAAAATATCACTTACCCTACCTGACGGACAAGAAAAAAGGAAAAAAATCTATATATTTGGGGTGGGTCTCTATGGATATCCACATGATAGATTATCCATTGCCATCGCTCGAGCGGGAATTCACAACTTTCAGAATTTCGAACAGACTACAAAAGTACTGGGAGCCTCACAAGTCCGCTCGAGCGTCAATTCCCCCCCCCCGCTCGAGCGGAGAGAAAAATTCTGGATTGTTACAATCTTCTCTCCTTAAGAAATCCAGTCCGCTCTGACTGGAAGAATGGCAAGATGGCTCTTGGCTTTAGCAGAATATGATATCACTTGTGTTCCTTCCAATATTCCAAATATTCCGTCAAACACAACTCATATACATAAGTCATTCACAAGAAGTGAATAAAATACAGAATAACATATATGAATACAACACGTGAATGAAATATGTTATTATACTACATGGACATTCTTAGGATTAAGAATTAAGTTTAGGCCCAAGTAGCTGAGGTAGGGCCATCTTTTTTTTAAGCAAGAGTTCTTCCAGTTAAATCTGGATGGCTAGTTGCTTGAATTGAAATAATTTGAATAATCACTTTTTCAAGTGGTACATATTTCAAAATAATTTATGTAAATTACCAATAGTCTTGTTTTGAAAAAAAGGAAGAAGAGAAAGACAACTATTTTAAACTTTACCTAGCTGTATAAAGTCCCTTATAAAAAATAAAAAAGGCATTTTATAGCTCCCGCTTCTAACCTTTACTTCACTTGACAAACAAGCGGTGTACCTATAACGTTAATTTTGTTGATCCAACCGGCTTTCGTCTCAAATAAGCTTTCTTTGTACCTAGATTCACCTATGTTCATCGACAGTGGAGGCCTTTCATTAGGACTTCGACGGCCAACTTGCAATGTTAAATGAAATTATCTATGGAATCATTTCCCGTGTGACTATTTAGGATTGACTTTTGGGTGATACACCAATAAATCCCAAATTAACAACTTATACACTATTTAGTCCTAAAAATTTTTTTATAGACCGAAAGGTCCCATTATAAGGAAATTGACCATAGAGGGCATATACATCAAACATCACAACATCATCATCAAACAACATCAAACATCATCATCAAAACATCAACTACATCACCATCACTAAAAAAACATTATCAAAATTCAGCATCATAAAAACAACATCAAACATCGTCAACTACATCACCAACATCATTAAAAAAAAATCATCAAACATCAACAAAAACCAACGACATCAAACATCAACACAACAGCATCAAAAACATCAACAACAACAACATCAATCTTTTTCATTTTTCTTTGTGGGTTTAGGTTAAAACCCAAAAAGAAGAACCCAAAAAGGCAAAGAGAACCGAGATTTGCATTCATGACAAACAGTGAGGTTGATCACTTGGATGATAGGTATAGATGGAGGAAGTACGGTCAAAAAGCTGTGAAAAACAACCCTTTTCCAAGGTATAATACCATCACAGATTTTCCAATGTTTTGGTCCCCATTTTTGTTTGATATATGATTTTCTTAATAGTCCCTCTGAGATTGGAACATCAACATCAGCGATTGTGAGATTGGAACATCAACATCGCAACACATCTGCAACATCAACGCCATGATCAACATCGCAACATCAGCGCTGTGAGATCGGAACATCAGCGCCGTGAGATCTCCCTCTCTTTCAGAATTGCTGATCAATTCGCCGGAAAACAATTACACAGCGATTCTATTCCTTGCGCAACGAGATCTCTGCAGATCTAATTCAAAATAGGTAACTATATATATGTATATATGTGTATTTGTGTATCTTTCTTCTTTTGTTGAATCTGGATGTTTACATGTTCCATTTTTTTATTTTTATTTTTTGTGGGTTTGGTTCGAAATCGATTTCTGCAGATTGGGTTGTGGGTTTGGTTCGAAATTGATTTCTGCGTA